AGGCATATGTCAGCCAAAGCGTATGCTCCCGAATTTTGCCTGGCTGAAGACATTCGATGAAAAGAAATGCTCATTGACATCAAGGCGGCGCAAAACGGTGGTTGAGTTAAGCTTGCTAGACGGACCGAAGGCTGTATGCGTATACGGTGGCGCTGACGACCCTGCGGGCGGCAGACACCGTACTTTTGCCTAGACAAAAAGCGGCGTGAAGCGACGCCAAAGGAAATGTATCTCCCCGAAAAAATACGACAAAAGAAACAGTCAGGAAAGTAAACGGTGCATGCTGCGAGTGATGGAGAAGGGAAAGGCAGGAGGAGAGGGCAGATTGTGTGTGCATGTGTGCGTTGAAAGAGTCGGGTGATGTCTATGACGATGATGATGATGATGATGATGATGATGATGATGATGATGATGATGATGATGATGATGATGATGATGATGATGATGATGATGATGATGATGATGATGATGATGATGATGATGACAACGACGACGACGACGACGACGATGACGACGACGACGACGACGAAAAGGAGAAGGAGACGGCTAGACGTGAACGTAGCGAGCAATCCAGGGCAGAAAATTTATGCGATTGAGGGGGGAAGCGTGATTTAGGGAGAAGGAACAAGGAGTGGGGATGGTGGAAGAGCATGAGGTAGATGGTCAGCGAATTTTGTCCTTAAGGTATGCTAGGACGTCCGCCGGAGACAGCAGCCTTGACCCAGTGCATGCTGACTATGTCCTAGGATCCAGGAGACTTTTGGAATGCGTTAGAGCACACAAAACGGTCCTTCATGTAGCTATTCCAGCAGCTTGCGAACATCGACACACCGAATACACGCATGAGTACAGTTATCCAAGTCTCTTTGACTCAAAACTTGGTTAGTGGACTTCGAGGCCGAATCGCGGAAAAAGGACGCACAAATTGTCACAGACAGTTCACAAAACGTGCAGGGCTCTGGTTGGCACCGTGATAGGTTGCCGTAGCCATCTCTACTAGCAGTCGGATTGTAGAGCTGGGAATCAAGTCGACTGAGCTACAGATCAGATCCGAATTCAGTGCCGCACAAACACCAGGGAGCAACAGAGGCAGATGTCAGATCAGTTCGCTGGATCCCTTTCGGAACGCAGGATAGTCTTTAGTTGGCGGCCGAAACGCTCGATCATATCGTTGGCTACTGGATTATAGGCCTTCGTCCGAATGCGCGTGCGGCCAACAAAGTTGATGAGGGTTTTGAGGAAGGAGGACTGGGACTGGGTGTATTAATCAGTCACTAACCGTGAATAAGGTACGGAATATAACGACTCAACCACTAGCAAAAGCCCTGGCAATGGTGTCCGCCTCCACGTTCAGATGAGTGATGGTTTCAGCCCAGCATGGGTACTGATCTAGGCAGGTGAGGAGGTGGATGTAGTATTGAATGTAGCCATGGAGCCTACGGCATACAGGTGAACGTGACTGAACCGTGCATCGGGGCTTGGGAAAGCGCTTGTTTTGACGCTCCATCTTGCTCCATTACCAACCCAGACACGACCGTTTCCAAGCTTTGACAACCTTGTTCATATCAGGCTAGACAAACCTTTCTGCGAGGAGCTCTCGGGAAACCCGAATCTCCTGATAGAGTAATCTATGAGGAGATTGTAAACGACTGGACGTATCGAAGTGGGCACAAATGGGTCACAAAGGGGAATTAAGACGTCATAAAGAACTTTCTCAGCACCTGTGGTCAGAGGAACGTCTACGAGCCGGCGATCGTTAAAAGACTCGTCACCAAGACCACCAACTCTTCACTGCCTAACCGACATGGATGTAGTGTCCATCCATGCGAGAGTTGGAGTGACGAAAGGAAAGGTCTAGACGGCACGTCGGTCTCATCATTCCTAACGTCAGTAATGTCACCAGTGTCGGTTGTGAATTGTGAGATGTAGTCTTGGTAGGCAATCTACGAATTATATTTGTCAGAACTGGATGGATGTACAAAGGTCAGCGGATTGTTGTTCGTGGAAAAAGTAAAGTCACGACCTACAAGGAAGCATCGGAAATACTTTGCAGCCAAGTGGACGACGAATAGTTCACGAATAAAGGCTCTGTAATGCGTTTCAATCAGCTGGAGTATTTTGGGGGAGGAAAGCCAATGGCCGGGTGGAGTCAGCAAAATTTTAAGGAACGGCGCCTTTGACTACGGTCGAAGGGTCAAAAATCAGGGATGGAGCAGTTTCTAGGGCTAGATGCGTTAGCAGGTTGGCGTCATCCAGGGAAGCCTCGATTCCATCAAAGGCATACAATGCCGCACCAGTGAGCTTCAGGGACCATTGTGACCAGAAAACATGTTGTTGATCGGCGGCATGACATCGACACTGTTCGGTGGAAACTGGCGGCAAAAGATAAGCATACGGAGGAAAGGTTACGTCTGACGCATAGAGGTTGGTGAGGGGCAATAACGAATTGTTTCAAGCTTGGAGGAGAGAGGGCGCAAGACTTCAGAGTTAACTTGATGGCCAAGGAAGTCACGTCATTCCCACTCCGCGGTGATGTCCCACCCGCGAAACGCCTATCATTACAATAACCATATTGCAATGGCCTGGGGTTATTTGCTGCTAGTCATTTGCCGCGTTCGCTGTACTTGAGGTCAAATCCACTGCGTCAGTGAAACAGGGGAACTGCTCCCGGCATGGATGGTCGAACATGCGACAGCATTGAGTAGAAATGACACACTCTCTCGAGTCGCTGCTCATTCGACGAGAGCCGGCCACACCTACAATTTTGACAGGGTGAAAATTCTTGCGATGTGCGACAACTGTGAGCATCGAAACGAGCTTGTGCCATTCCTCTCAGGTCCACAGTTCATCTCCCCCTATTCCTCGCCCAGACTTTGTCTGGGCAGCGTAAGTAAGCACGCACGGTTCGCGCGAGTAACTACTAATTATGGTGACGGTGTCGGAGGGTCCAATGACCTTGACTACTGACTCAAGAAATAACGGCAGTGCCGAAATTGCGGCAATTATGGGCTCCGGTGCGGGCAATCACCAAAGCAAATGCGGTTATCTGGGATAAATGCAGGATCTGTTAGTATTGGTACGTATGTGGCAGCATAGAAACTGCATCTTTGAATTCTGAATTCATTGTGCGGCCACCACACTTAACTTTTGCTCTCTGACAAAAGGCTCGAGTGCACTTCTACTTGGCACGGCTGTTGTTATACTTGATCCATCCGGCCTCAATAATATCCCGTATTGTACCTCTCCACGCGTGCGACCTACGGCAGTGGAACTGGACAACTCGATCCAATTTATTTTCTAGCGAGGGAGACCGAACGCTTAAGACCCAAGAAGCAGCTTCATATCTTGGTGGACTGTGTCAAGCCAGGTCTTCAGTTAACTTCCTCTTCGACGCATTCAGTTAGGTAACGGCGGCGGATCGATGGCACTAACACCGGGCTCCCGAAGCAGATGGCGAACGGACCCAAACCACCTCAGTCGTTTTTCTTGAAAGGGAATCCGAAGGGTCGAGCGGACAAAATTCTCTCTCCGGCGCTGGAGTTTCCTTCTTTTTCAATACCTCTAGCAATCGTTTTTTAATACAGTCTATGTAAAGTTTCTTCATCGCCCTATTACAATGCACCATTTTAAGTCTTACGTAGGTATTGAGCCAGACTTAACAGCGACGTCAGTAAACTGTGCACCTAGTGTACAGGCATAAACGGCAACCTCACGCGGAGACCGTTCATCGATCTAGCGGATTAAAACACCTGACACTGTCCTTGGGTCAATCCCGGACATTTTGACTAGAGGAAAAATTACAAAAACTAGCAGGATCACTGCATGTTGTCAAAAGTAAAGTGGCGAATCGCTACGAATGACTGAAACTTTCCATGGTTGGCCTCTAAATACTCATAAAACACGCAGCTTACATGGGCTTAAAAGACACTAAGCTTGCGAATCGTAACGCTGCATTCAGAAGAGATGCTTATTTTGCAGTCCTAATCCGAGTGAATTCGGAGGGATTGGTAACTGTAGTTGGCAATGCATAGTTTCCAATCGCAACCTTTAACAAAGATCCCTTCCCAAATAAAAATGAAGGTTAGAGCGAGCTTTTCCGCTGGACGGACCTGAAGAAAAAAGCGCTGAAAAGGGGGCACGTGCTGAATTTATATATCGATGGGGAGGGAAATGAAAGGTTCTTTGACTAAGTCATGTTCGAACCTGTAGACAGAATGAGCTCTAAAGATAAAATTCAGAAAGGTGTAACCGTAAGTAAGAGACCGGAAACCGTTTTTTGGACAAAAATAAACATGGACAGTGGGACCAGAATGGGGAGGACGCAGGTGCTAATAGTGTGATTAAGTCTGGCCAATATGCTCAATGGTAGGTGGGTCAAAGGCAAGTGCGTGTGCTTGTGCATATATGTGTGAGTGGTCGCACACACACACACACAAAAGACCAATAATAAAGGGGGAGAGAAAGTTCCATGCGTTGAAAAGAAGCGCAGATAATGACTCTCGGAAGGGTCTTCACTGTTCTAAGCTACTGTTCCCTGTGCCAATGGTCGAGACGGATTTGCCTTTTCTTACGCCGAGTACCTAAAAAGAGTACGTCTTTGAACGTAAACGATGCTGAAAAATGCCGAAGTAGGATGTGTAAAAATATCTCATTATGAGCAAAACCAGTGGTCAAATTCAATACTCCAATTTTACAAGGGGAACGAAGCCAGTCAGAAGCAAGGTGCAGGGCTCCCGCTGTCCAATTTATCTCACAAGCTACTATAATTGGTCTAGGCGACAGTTCGACCGCCGATTTCAACGATGTTAACCGTGTGCTAGACAGCAGGGTGGGGGCAGGGACGTTGGCTTGCGCGTGAATTAGTGTATAGTGATAGTAGGCTTTCGCGGCATCTATCGCACTCCCCCCTCCTCCTCTATCTGGATCCGGTGTCAGGACAGAGTCAAAAAGGCCGGAGGCAAGAGGACACAGGTGGCTGGCAAGGCGAAAACCCGTACCTTGGCGCACCACCACACCCCACGGTCTACAACGTACACTGGCCAAGATTTCATGCACCAAGAAAAGGGGGCGGCATAGATCCCAATTGGCGCAGTGTGAGCTTGCAATTAGGCGTGTAGTCACACACACACACACGAGGACAGTTCGTCCGTCGATTTCGATGATGACCACCGTGTGCCCCACAGACTGCATTGTGGGAGCAGGGACGGTGACTTACGCAGGGGTTTATAGTGCCAGTAGACTTGCGTAGCATCTACCTACACTCTCTCCTCCTCCGCCGCCTGGGCCCGGTGTCAAGACAGAGTCAAGAAGACCGGAGACGGGGGAGGCCGCAGGTGGATGGCTCGGACGGGTCTTCGCCTTGGCGCTCCACTCCGCACCCCTGGTCCACACACCAAGACCAGGATTTTGACCACAAAAAAATGGGGTGGAGACAGTGGTCCAGTTGTGCGACGAATGCCGACAACAGGGTCCGCCAGCGCACCCCGGGAATGTTGGCATTTGTTATTGCGCACAGATAACGCCTGCCAATGTCCGATGTGGCCCCCGTGTTGGTCCAGCGCATCTAACACGTGGCCCGTTTTGAGGGCACAACACACACACACACCAGTGTTAGTATAGTGCGTGACTGATCTCATGAAATGTTGGCCGAAATTTTGAAATACGTCTTCGATTAGCAAGGATTACTTAAGTAAGGCTGTTATACTAATTATCATGCATTTTAAAATATTTCGGACTTGCCTGGGTGTCGGCCTTTGAATGTACTTCTTTTCAACCTCTTATAGGAACCGCACATGGTAAAAACCGACTACTTAAGTGACATGCGTTTTTCATATTGATGGTCTTATAAATCCAAATATGTGTTATAAAAAACTTGCACAAAAATATGCCTTCTTTTACTCGTTCGGTAGAAAATCACACTGTCTTCATATTTTATACCTGAAGAAGGTGTATATTTAGGTTTTAAAAAAATTTTCAATCTCCGAATAATTTTAAGCCACATCTGCCATTGCATTGGCGTTTAGCGATTTCAGTTTACAAGGTGAATGCTTTCCGCATATTCCTCTATTCTTTTAAGAAGATACCACAAAGAGTTCATAAAATTTTGCAATGGATCCGGACTGTGTTGTATATTTCATGAGAAGCCTTGGTAAACGGACATGTACGATGTTGTATACAAGAACATCGCACGGTCTTGAACACGGCATAATTAGAAACTTTGTGAAAACCTAAATATACACTTTCTTCAGGTATAAAATATGAAGACAGTGTGATTTTCTACAGAACGAGTAAAATAAGGCTTATTTTTGTGTACGTTTTCTAAAAAATATATTTAAATTTGTGAGACCACCGAAAATCAATACGAAAAATGCATGATACTTAAGTAGTCATCTTTTACAGATCGCGGTTTTTGCAGAAGGTCAGAAAGGAGTGCATCCAAATGCCGACATCCTGGTGAATACGAAATGCTATACGATTATGCTGCATGCTAATCAATATTAACAACCCCACCTAAGTAATCCTTCCTAATCGAAAACATATTTCAGAATTTCGGCCAACATTTCATGAGCTCGGCCATGCACTGCATATGCTAGGGGTGCGCATTCTCAATAAGGTCTGTCGGACTCCGATCTAGCCCATGTTGCTCCAGCGCATCTGGCGCGTGCCCCGTTTTAGGGGCAATATAGAAATTGCGGTCATAGGAAGATAGCATGTTTCAACTGGTTACATCACTTCCGCCTAGCAACTGATGGAGTTTAATCGTGACGTACAGCATAATAATGAGGACGGAATCTAGCTCGGACCATAGAAGCGCAATACTGTTTCCCTGTTGGATTCTTTTACCGTAATGGAATCTCCACGACAAACACTTTCACTGACAAAGAACACTTCCTACTTTCCCTTTGACCTGCATCAACTTATATAGCGCAGAAATTCAGGAACACTCAAAAGTGAAGAAATAAAAAGCCAACTGATCCATTATGTCAAAAAAACCAAATCCAGGGAATGCAGGGTTTGATTGCATTAGTGTACGCCGGGCGTGCTTCACGTAATGGAGTCACCGGACAACAAGGTTCTATTCCTACAACTGGCAGCCTTTAACCTAAGCCGCGTTTTCGGCTCCGGACAAGTCTAGTGGTTGCAAGATCGGGGAACTAATTCTATGTCTGCTATTCAAGACCCCTCTAAAGAAAAGGTCAGCAATTGTCAACAATAAAAGTTTTTTGGATTCCGCCCATAGGATTATAATTTTTTGCAAGATCTTGATGAATTCTTTGAGAAAAGTGAATTTGAATAAGGCAAAGGCGACAAAGCATGCAGTATTTACTGACGTCATAAATTTCGAGACCTCCCATTCAGCTGCGTACGGTCATTGCGTAGTTATATGACAAGGCAAACTGTTTAATCAACATCGACCTAGAGAGATAAAACGTGATAGGCAACCTGAAGAAAGGGTCTAGTATGCGAGTGCATATGGCGAGGGGGAAGAGAGGATGAGAAGTCATCCAGGTATGAGAGTTAGGACTACAGTGAGAACTTGTCCGGCGTGATCTAGAGTGCAACGCGCGGGCAGCATTCAGTTGTGCCGGGGAGGGGGCGAAATGAGAGGGCGGATATGGGGACAGGGTTTCGTCCATAATCGATCCTTACCATGGTAGTGCCTGGTTTATCACGTGGTCCAAATGCTTACAGAGTTCTGGTTTCCTGCTCCGTATTGCAGCGGCCTCTGGAAAGCGCAAGAAACGCCCGGTTGACGCCCGAAACAGAACCTTGGATGCAACCATTGGGTCCACCGTATGGCCCGTGCCCACTAGGTGCTTTGTGATTGAGCTCCTGGGTACCTTATTTTCCACCTTAAATAGCCACTTCGGCATGTGTTCAGCTGACCGAGCTGCCAACTGCCTTTGCGTGCGCCCAATGTACTTGCATCCGCAACTACATATAAACTCATAAATACAGTTTGATGTGGCGTGCATAGGCAAAATGTCTTTAGCTGGTCTAACTGGGATGGCCCCCACCTCCTCCCCGGCATGACTGAATGCTGCCCGCGCGTTGCACTCTAAATCACGCCGGACAAGTTCTCACTGTGGTCCTAACTCTCATACCTGGATGACTTCTCACCCTCTCCCCCCCTCGCCATATGCACCCGCATACCAGACTCATGTTTCAGGTTACCTATCACGGTTTATCTCTTTAGGTCGATGTTGATTCAACAGTTTGCCTTGTCATATAACTACGCAATGACCGTACGCAGCTGAATGAGCGGTCTCGAAGTTTATGCCGTCAGCAAATACTGCATGCTTTGTCGCCATTGCCTTAGTCACATTTATTCCGGGAAAACATTGCTTCAAAAATGAATTTCACCAAAAATAGGATAAAAACCACGGGACAAGGTAAGGTGGAAACCGGTTTCTTGGTATTCGGCGGGAGATACCTGCTCAGCATGTGCTTGGCCCATGGCGTAGCCTGCCTCATACCATGCGCGGAGGAGGGCCGCGGTGTCAAACTCGCTGTTTGCAGTCACGGCAGTGGTTGAGGCAGTCGCGGCCAGGGCGGTCTCAGTGATGCAAGGGAACTGTAGTGCCTGCGGCGGTGACGGAGGCACGTAGCACAGATTCGTTCCAGTTGACGCTCCCATGGTCTGGTTATGACGGACACAGCTGAAATGAGAACAGGCAACTAGGGCTAACCGAGGCGGCAGTCGCGTGTTGCAGCGAGACGGTGACAGCTGCAAACGCTGTATAAAAGCATAGAACAGCTAACTATATTGCGTGTAGGAGACTAACTGGACAGGTTTTCCCGGCGCAAAACCCCACGGCACCGGGCCTTGGAGACAAACGCAACTAAAATCGATAATTGTCAAAACGAGTAGTCCCGTTGGGTGCAGTAAGAACATCCACAAAAAAAAGGAGGCTACGGTAAGCACTGCGCGCCGGCGTGCCAGATAGCTGCTACTGGTCACGTCCACTTAGCCTGCCTCCATGTTTAAAGGGGTACCAAGGTCCCCCAAAATGGATAGAAGTGCAGGTCAATACTGCCACTATCCACTCACAGCGACTGTTTTCTGTTCAACAGCAGTATAGACAGCAGAATAGCCGTCAGACACTCGAGCCTGCACCTATCAACTGAATCTGGTGACGATGGGCATCGACCATTATGGCTGGCGAAATTTCCATAGTTAATTCGCACTGTGCGGTCCTGACCAAGTTGACAGTAAGGTGAAGAACTTCGCAAAAGTTTAAAGAAATCGAAACCAAGAAGCGCATTCGGGTCCAAGTAAATGATATGCATGAAGTTTGTTTTCAATGAACAAAAGCCCGTTTGCTGCATAATTCTCTGTGATGTATGAAATATGGTTTAGAGAAAGAAGGATCCCATAACTGGGCTGTGCTTGCCTGCAACACTGACTCGTATAAGCAGATTGTTGAAGGGCGAGGAACTCCGAGGGTAGTTCCACGTTAGGCAAAAGCCAGGGGTAGACAGGAGACAGAACAGAAGCCCCGGTCTGGAAGTAGAAAATAATTGAGACTAATCTGCACCAAACTGAAGCTGCAAAAACTAGGCTGCACGAAATCAACCTACGGTAGGATCGGCTTGCTGCGCATCCAGAGGACAGGAAGAGGAGGCTGTGTGAAGGTTATCGGAAGGCGCAACTGGGAGTTCAAGTTTGAGCTTCTCCTTCCGCTTGGTACGGGTTGTATGATTCTTCCGTCTCCGTCTCGAGGGGACAGCGGCTCTGCCGGCACGGAAAGCCTCCACTTGTGCCTGGCGGACGTAAATAAAATAAACACATTTACTTATAAGACTTTAGTAGGCGTATTTGAATTAAATATCTAACTCAGGTGCCCACCCTAACTTGGAGTTCAACTTGTTCGTAGTGGGCCAACAGCTCACTGTCGTCCCAGACTTCATCAATGTCCGAAGCTGCGGAGCTATCGCAAGGTGGCCAAACACGGGCACCAATGGGTATGGAATCGTTTGTTTCACACATCTGTGAGGAGAATAAAGGGAATGTCAATTCGTACTGCTATGAAAAGTCGAAAGACAGCGCGCTGTTAAAAGTTCAGACAGAAGAAACTCACTGGTAATAAAAAGTATAATAATAGATAACCACACGGAAGACTGCCCAAAAAAATATACGACGGGCTGTGCTGGATGTAGACCGACACAAACAAATAAAAGGCAGCAGGGACTGAAACATGAACATAGTTGACACAAACTAGGGTCACTGCTGCGAAGGGGGTGGACAGTTCTAACAGGCGCCGTTAAGTTTCCCGAGTGGATTGGAGGACGGCTGGGGTGGGTGACACATGGGTGAGGTGAGATCGAATGGTCGGCTCTTGGTTGCCAATGGCCTCTTGGAGGGTAGGCAGACGACATCTGTGACAGCGGCGCAGTCGCCCGCACCGTCGTCAGTCTTCTTAGAAGTTTCAGCCGTCTTCGAGCCGACAACTTGTGATTGTCCAATGATAGGAGAAGTGCAGTCAAGTTCGCTCAGCGTCTTAAGGGGGGCAATAGTGACAGAAGCTGGAGTGGAGATGGTAACGGGGCTGTCAACCGATCCCTCCAAGACCGATGTCAGAGTAGGGGTGGAATGTAGTCGCTGGGCGGGCCGTTTCCTGGTGGGCGTAAATGGGCTCCGGACAATACGCCGTTTACGCAATGAAAGGCGATTCAAGAGGGATAAATCATTGTTTGGAACTAAAAAAAGACAATTGGCCGTCATAAATGCCATTTCTTCATGAAAAAGAGGACCTGAACTGAGAGAAAAGGACTATTTCCTTCAAATAAGAACAAAATGGCAATATCGGTAGGTAGATCATTTTCTCACAGGAAGCTTGGTGGGAATGTAAGAGATAAGTCATGATACATGACGTTATCCTGTGGCATAACATAAGAGTTTTCAATAATGAAAGACACCTACATAATGCGCAAGAGTAAGAAAGACTGGAGGTCCAGGAGAGAAGAATCCGGGGAAAAGTCCTTCTCAGCAGTGAACGACGAATAAATAAATAGTATACTGCATCCGTATCAAAATACTCCAGGTGATTCTGTAGGCAACGGGGACCGCAACGCGCGTGCGCGAATCAATTCAGCGGAACGCAGAAACGAACAGTTGCTTGTGCACGTGCGAAAATAAGCTATTACAGCATGACGAGACCAACGGTCATTCCGGTGTGTATTCCAAAACCCAGCTGTACTAACTATTAGTAGTAACCAAACTCATCAAAACAGATCCAGAAAGTTCGATTTAATCGAATCCAGTGCGACGAAGACAAAGTAGCAAGGATCCACGAATCACTTCCATGTCTTCACAGACCGTCAAGCCAGGTTTTCAACTGACACCTTTGATTCCTCCAATTAGACAGGGGTTTCGGATAAAGGTCATTACACTGAACTGGTACAGAAGACAACAAAGGGCGTACCTAAACTACCTCAGTCGCCCTTATTTGGTACTCACGCGGTGGTTTTTAAGCAAATGGGCTCTGTCACAGTCGAAACGAAGTCGATGGACGACTTTCAGGCAACTGTAATTAAGCAGCTCCAGTCTTCGTTCGTCTTTCATGGGGACAGACTAGCATTGATATGTGCACAAGAGGACTGACCGAACAGATGTATGGCTGACCCGTATCTGTAACAGTGGAGATATGGGGACGGGTCCCCTTCAAAAGCTTGCACAACTCCTGTGGGCAGTACCGATTTGGACGACGATGCCGTCCTTGGTTTGTCCACCTGTTCGAGTCTTGTCTCCCACCATATCTTGGATTGTCCCCGTATTAAGGCTGATGCACTAATCTCGGGATACAACTAGAAGGCGCATTTGTCCTTCCACCGATTAAAGGTGAACAAACTAGCCAACTTTGACTTCACTTTTTCATCCGAAAGTCTAAGCCTCGAGTTTTATAGTAACATTGAGTTTCGGCCACCATAATTATTTATAGGCCTTTTGTCGACCAGAAAACTCTGCCTGTATAATCTGACGATACTATGACGATGAATAACAGCGGTGAAAAGCAGGACAAGGAAACTTGAAAGGAATAGGCGTAAGGGACCGAGAGAACCAGGGCAGAAAAGCGGGGATAAATAAGGTGAGGGAGGAGAAAAACAGGGCGGGCAACATACTCGAGGACCTACTTGTAAGAGCCGATTCAGGTTCCCGAGTTTCGTGAGAGTGCGCATCAAGAAAAGGCATAAATGGCTTGCTGGAAGGAACTTCCGCGTCCGTTGAAAACGATCCTCCAGCACGCGTTAGGGAGGGCGGCGTCTTTGGGGGTAGAGGGGATGAGAATGTATGAGGGTTCGACTGCTTGACAGAAGGCAACTGCAAGGTAGGAAAGCAAACGACAAGAGTCGATAATAAAGGTTAAAGCACTTTGTCGTCCAAATTTGCATAAGTAGTGCTTACAGTTGAATACGGGAATATGGATCCCCCCTTCTGCAGGCGGCCCTACACTAAATGTTAGGTGAGATGAGGTTAGGATCAGTGTAAAGAGAGGATTGGAGCTGGGAAACGGAATTAGGTACATCTGTAATTTTGCGCGGGTAAGCCTGTAGAGAAGGGCGGTTCATATTTTCGTGTCCGATCGTGTTTTCTTCAAAAAAAACTCCGTTTTAGTAGGAAAGCTGAAAATAGGCCTGTAAAAGTTCAGAAGAGGGAGGCAAACAAAAGGCTGTGAAATCAGGGGGGGGGGGGAAGTTACCGTATTTGGCGTACTGCAACACCCGAAAAGCCCAGGATGTACCACTGAGCTGTTATTCACGAGACCATCGACAACGCCGGTCGGACAGGAGACACCAACAGGCATGCAGGCCTCGAAGTGGGGAGGAGATGATGGTGGTGGCAGGTGGGGCAAAGGGGGTGAGACGGGACTGATGAAGTGTTGTTCCTGTGAAGGCTGTCTGACGACGTCTCCACTGGAGCTAACCGCCGCCGCAGACGTGTGCAACGCTGCTGGTTGAAGGAAGGTTGGCCTAGTACTCTTCGCCGCAACGCAAGTGGGACACTCGCCGTGGCATGTGCTCAGAGTTGACGTTGCTTTATCGCAACCTGAGGCAGCCAGCTTGCAGATGAGTACAGAGACAAAGAGGTGTTGTCATCATCTGGGTTACCACAGTTGCCATTTACAACAAATACGTAATTTCGATTATGGCTTCTACAGGATCCCACAAATAAGCCTTGGTGAGATACGGAGACATCTGTGACTTGATCGACAGGTTACATTAGGCAAGCTTTAAAAAACCATAGAGAATGCGGCTGTGTCGTTCAAGGCTTGTCATTAAATTTCGACATATTACTGAGAGAGGGAGAGAGAGAGAAAGGGGAGAAAAAGAGAGTTGCACTAGTAAGCTCCACAAATCTGCGGTGCAGAATGGACCGCTGATGACCCCGAAACTAATCTCCCCTCAGATCCAGGGCTGTTTAACCAGCCAATATAAAATATCTAACTCTCCCTAAAAACCAGATTTGTTCAGGGCTCTGCTTGCTCGTCATACATTTTCCTCTTTAAGAGGATAGCCTGAAACGCCATGCTGACTATCTACCGATAAGACAAGTCAATGATACTTTGGTGAGTACTTCGACAATGACCAATGACGAGGCAGAATTAAAAAGCAACTCTTGCCATAGTGCCGTGAGACTTGGTTAAAAATCCCATACTTAACTATCAAAGGTCTGTTCGGTTGGTTTAAACGCTCAGAGCTTTGACAGACTAAATCCCTTCTGACTTTAGTCCGAGCAAAACCACTCCCTTACGACGAATGAGTGACGTCATATTACCTGACGTTTGCTGAACCCTCCGCGTGGAATCAATTTACCTGAATAGTCGATCGACATGCTTTCTATGCCCGTCGTCTGCGCTTCGACTCGACGAATTAACGAAACTAGACTGTCTCTTAATGCCCATCCTGCACTACTTCTTCATATTTCCTGGACATCTAAAAATGCCTATGAAATATGTTGCCTACGATACATCCAGCCGCAATAGCTTGCCTTAAATTTTCCTATCCCTCCTAATGCATGATTCGAAAGAAAAGGGAACGTCCGGATGCCAGGCAAACGAAGAGGGAAGTTGGACCAGTGCACCGCTAAACGTCATAATGTCACCTGACAGACATCGTATAGCATTTCGCTCGAACAGTTTATTAATGTTGTTATCTTACTGCCTGTATTTCAGTAACGTTTGTTTTTAATTATTGTCCTATGTCGAATGTGAGTGCTGGCATTTAATTCGTCTCCCTCAGAAGCTGAGACAGCGCCAATTACCCATTGACAGACTACCGTATAGCACATTTAGTAACGTTAATGTTTTTAACATTGGGAACAATTCGTCTATCTGTCTGGTTTCGAAAACTTTGCCAATCTGAAGAAACTCTGCAGCTGTTTGATGTTTCCACTTTCGAATTTTTGAGATAGTTCGCTTCCTTGTAACAAATAGGGAGTTAAAAGGTTCAAAGCCTATATTCCCCTCAAATAAAATGAAACTGAAACTGTTCAGACGTGTAGGCTATCGCGACTAAAAGTTCCGAGAGTTGAAGAGCGCTCCATGTACGGTGGATGGAATTTTCAGAAGATTTAAGCTGAGTTATATTTCTCTTACTTCTGCACCTTAGCAGTACTTTTGACCAGGCATTTTGGCCTAAAGGTACATTGGCGGGGTCTGTTCAAATGTGCCCTTGGATCCGGCCAACAACTCGCTTTCGTGAGAAGTATCACAGATAAAGACAGGGTAGACTGGAATAATCCCTTCTGGAATATTTGCTCCCAGCATACAGCCACACAACAACTGCGGCCCGGGAAGACTAGGAGCTTAAAACCGGCAAGTGAACCAGAAAGGGCAACCTAGTCTCCTATTTCTGTAGGTAGTACTTTTAAATTATTGCCTGCTCCTAGCTGTGTGACTGCCCGTCCGGGCTTTAGACCGGAGATCAGATACACACTGGGATTGATCACACTCCGTCTAGTAATCAGGACAGACAATGAACGCTACCTCT